AGAGTGTTTTGTGTGTGTGTGTGTGTGTGTGTGTGTGTGTGTGTGTGTGTGAGAGAGAGAGAGAGAGATATTATATATATTATATTATACATAATATTTAAATAATAAATTCTCTTTTACTTTGTATTAGTTCTTGGGAAAGCATAGAAATGGAGAGGGGACCAAATGCAGCATTTTGCTTTATATATTTTTAATTGTGGATTAAGAAAAAGTAGAAACCATACTGGAGCCTTCTAGATGGGATGCCCCCGAGAAATGATCAGCTATGCTGATTTCACATGGGATTTCATTGTGGTATTTTAAGTGACAAATTAGTGGATGTAGATTTCCTGTGTAGTACCTCACTTCGGACAATTGCCCTGTAAGTTGTCTTTTCATAAATGTCCACTTGTATATTGATGAGTCACTCACAGGTTACCCTGCACTCTCTATGGTGAGAATTATTTGTGCTCATGACTCTAGGTATGGTGTCTGTGCTGGACTTAATGCAAGGAGGTTTCCCTTCAAGAGCCTCATTTCACGAACTCTATAACATGTACAAAAAGTACATGCCAGAGAAACTCGCAAGATTGGATCCAAGGCTATTTTGTAAGGTATAAATCCTGCTTCAATACAAATTTCTTAGCAGCAAATCTTTCCTATTAATTTCTAGTTGGAACTCAAATTTTTAAACCTGTTTTTCAGGCTCTTTTTAAAGCTCTGGGATTAAATGAAGTTGATTACAAGTTTGGGCTCACAAAAGTGTTTTTCAGGCCTGGCAAGGTAAATATGTACTTATTTTAAACTTTAGCACATGACAGTTGGGCTTGGTATGTATTTTCTTAGTTATTAGAGGTTGATGTTATTGCTACTTTCCATATAACAGAGTGAAAATATGTTTTTATTCACACAGTTTTCCTGTTTAGGGGTGTTTCATACTCTGAGTTTAAATTTTAGTTTTAATCATTATTGGAATCAGAATGTTGTTAAATTTTTCTTAAATAAGAAATAACCAAATATCTCTAATATTTAAAATAAATTGAAGGCATTTCTATACTATTTTAATTTATCAGTTAGATAGCTGAGCATGCAACCCAAGCTGGCCTGGAATTCTCTATGTAATTGCCCCAGACTCCTGAATGCTGAGAGTACAAGCCGGTGCTGCTCTCCTTGATGTGGTTCATTGCATGTTGGCCTCTCTATTGTGAGGAAGTTTCATTCAAGTGTGGTAGATATAGAAGGCATATGAAATTGGACTGGAGTTTGTACTGACTATTGATAAATTTTGCAGTGAAAGAGTACATAAGCACTGCATATGTTAGGTTGTAGTTTTTGGCTAACATAGTACTTCATTGAGATGCTCCCTGAACGTTGAACACTTCATTCCTGTATCACATATAACAGCGTGTTACCCTAACTAACCCTCTCACCCTAACCCTTACCCTAACCCCCTAACTGTAGCCTGTATGCAAACACCTAAGGCTGTTCACGTGTAAATAATATTTCCACATCCCTAACATTTAAAATTTTATGATTAAAAGCCATTTTTGTGGACTGGCATGTGACACCTTTACTACTTCAGTGTGATATTTGGGGAAGAATGGAAATATTCTGGAATTTTGTGGTAAATAATAGAAATAATACATTTTATTCATTAGTAGCCAAAATATCTATTGCCTTTGTGTGGTCTATCTCCTAGTTGCAATTTCTTGTTTTTGTCTAAAATGGGGGTGGGTGTTGGGAGAGACAATACTTTGGTGGCTCTCCTGTAATAGATGACCTTTGCTGTCAAGAGCTGTGAGGGTGTCTGAGAATGTTGCTTAACTGGCTCAGACATGTTAGCCCTTTTCAACATTTTTCCTCAAATATCTCTATAATTAGTCATTTAAGAGTTTTTCCTAGTCCTATTTTTGCTGCTACTTAGAATTAAGTAACCTTCCTAAGCTCCAAAGCATTGCTAATGGACAAAAGAAAGGGACCATGAAATGTGACCGAACAAGTTTAAGCTTTCTGTTTACCCTGTTAAGATGTCCTTGGATTTGGCTTTTAGTGATTTTCAGGAAGTTAGATTTGGCATTTGAAGTCCATGTATTTTATTTTCCTCTCTATTTGAACACATTTGCCCTTTAATGCTGACACTAAGTTATCTTACTCCTAGTTTGCAGAATTTGATCAGATTATGAAGTCTGACCCTGATCATTTAGCAGAGTTGGTAAAAAGAGTCAATCTTTGGCTAGTCTGTAGTCGCTGGAAGAAAGTTCAGTGGTGTTCACTCTCAGTCATCAAATGTAAGTATTTTTTCCTTGGCTAGTGTCACATTTTTTAATCTCAGCGCTTGGCAGATTGGGGTAAAAGAATCAAGAGTTCAAGGCCTCAGCTTGGAGATACGGCTCAGTGGTGAGAGCATGGTTGCTTTTTCTGAGGACCTGGGTTTGATTTCCAGCACCCACATAGCAGCTCACAACTGTGTGCAATTCAGTTCCAGGGGATCCAGTGCCCTCTTCTGACCTCTGTAGGAATTGCATGCACAGACATAAAGGCAGGCAAAACATTTATACACAAAAGAAAATTAAAGAAAAAGAAAGTTCAAGACCTTCCTGGGCTACACAGTGAGACTCTGTCTCAGCAACAACAAAAAAACCAAAGTCCTCAGCAAACTGTGTTTTATTTCACATCAAGATTTGCTGTTTTGACAGTGAGATGATTTGAGGGATGCAGTGAGACTGTCTCATTGATGCTGCTGGCAGCTTTGGTTCTCGTGTCTGATGGAATGGCTCCCTGGTTCCTCCGCCAGCATTTTCAGACTTTTATTTTTTGAAGGTCTGATGATGTCTACTATCTGAGATATGTTCTAGGAGTATTAATTTCATTATTGTCTTAAGCAGCAGAATGTACTGTCTTCTTTTTCCCCTTTCTCTCTTTGACCCCCACATTTGACCTCCTCATTTTCTCCAGTTTTAACTAAAGCTATTCTCCCTCTGCCTAAATGGCATCTACATTAGGTATTCTCAATAGATGATCTGTGTTCTGTCTCTCTGTGCCCCTAGCTTCCCCTCCCCCAGTCTATTTAATTTGAAGTGCTATGTATTGAACTCCGGGCCTTCCAAATGCTAAGCAAGCTACACCCCTGGGTAATGTCTCTCTTTTCTTATTCATGAAATCTCATTAGTTATCAAACTATATGGATTTTTGCCTTTGGATAGTATAACCCATTATTTTCAATGTCAATACCTCAGGGCAACCTCTTTTCATCACTTACACAATAACTTCATTAGCTCCAAAAATTGTTTACTAGCTCCCCACCCCACTTATCTTTTTTAACCCCCAAACTTTCCTAGCCCTCATTCAATAGCTGGCAAAGTTTGAATCCTAGCCATTTTTCCTAGACTGTAGTTGGGGTTTCAGTTCATCTTTGCAGCCTCTCCTGCTCCTCCTCTCTCAGACTCACTCTTCAGTACCCTGGACCAAGCTGAGCTTGAGTGAATTTCTGCCAGGTTGTAGCAGCTACTTACTTCTGGCCTAAAACATGAGTGAGTGGAAATACTTTGGATTACTTGAAGGTCTGTGGTGAAAGTTTAACGTTGGGAGCTGTGTGGGAATCAGTCACCATGCTCCCATACTTACCGGAGTCCTTGAAATAGTGCTGCTTGTGTGGCAGGACTTAGTAGAGAAATCTTCACTAATGGGGGAGTAAAATTTACTTGGTCTAGCACAAAGGAACTAGGCACATTATTATTGAGACCTTTTGTTAGACAATAGTGCATACCCATAAAAAAAAAAAAAAAAACTATGATAAAAAGACACCTTTAATCCCAGCACTCGGGAGGCAGAGGCAGACGGATTTCTGTGAGTTGGAGGCCAACCTGGTCTCCAGAGTGAGTGCCAGGATAGGCTCCAAAGCTACACAGAGAAACCCTGTCTACCCCCGGTTCAAAAAAAAAAAAAAAAAAAAAAAAAAAAAAAAAAAAAAAAGACAACAGAACCTCTTTTCCCATTATTTTCCAAGTAAAATATGAAAGTTTCCCACAGGCTCAGTGCTTTCGGCTTTGTCTATAGTGCATTTCCAGAAGGAAGTAAACTCTGTTTCCTAAACTCATTTGGCAGGTTAACTTTTTAAAGAAAGTTATAATATTTAATAGAACATTTAAGAGAAATATGGCACAGAAAAGTTTGTTAATAGTAGTGTTGCACACTTGAGAATACATTTGAAATAGAGTGCTAGCCACATCCATCTTTTTTTTTTATTATTTTTAAGAAGTTAAAGAAACTTTAGACTTCCTGCCTCTGATCACTGGAATAACATATACATCAAGATTTTATGAGAATTGCTTTGTGGGAATGAATGAGTTTTTAATTTATGTCCTATTTAAACCAATATGTTTCTGTCATTTTATTTCACTCTTACACATAGTGAAAAACAAAATACAATATCGAGCTGAAGCGTGCATTAAAATGCAGAAAACGATTCGAATGTGGCTTTGCAAAAGGAGACACAAACCACGGTAAGATGAACAGTGTCTGAAGATCTATACAAATGGCTTGTTTGTGCTGTGGATTTGGAATCCGCTCATTCGTTACTTAGCTTGCTGTTCTACCACAGGGTTTGAGTGGCTGGCAGACATGTGAACACTTAAAGATTGCAATGAAAGACCGAGAGAGACTGCCATTCTGGTTACTGTATGATTTGAGTTTCTTGATAATGCCAAGTTAGATGCTGTTTTGGAAGACACCCACCAGCCTGGTGGTAATTTCAGGAATGTTCATAAAATAATCTTACTTTGCTGGTGTGTCATTTCACTGAACATATTTCATTTTCATCTTACTTAAAATTTGTATTGCCAGGTTACTTTTTAAACTTTGGAAGTTTGGATAGCTATTGACACCACACCTTTTCAAAGAAATGTTGGATCATTTGAGTTTATAATTTCAATGAATCCTCATTTTTCTGTCTAAATATAGCTGGCCTCCATGTTATTGATGGCCATCAATGCTAATCCTATGTGTATTTGATTCTTTTCATACTTAATGAGAGACCTGAACAGACTACTAAACAATATTGAAGACAGAAGTAGCCTGCCCGTGTAGCCGCAGTGTTCACTGTTTAGCAATGAGAGTCCTCCTAGAACATTAGTTTGTGAGGTAACTAGCTGATGGAGCCTTACTATTGCAGCATTGATGGCCTGGTTAAGGTGGGCACCCTGAAGAAACGACTCGATAAGTTCAATGAAGTAGTAAATGCATTGAAAGATGGGAAGCCAGAGGTGAACAGACAAATCAAAGATCTGGAAATTTCTATTGATGCTTTGATGGCCAAAATTAAGGTGGGTCATTTTCATCTAGCTAACTTGAACTTTTTATATAATTTACTGTTTCTTGTTATTGATATTGAACTTTATGCAGGAAAACACACTTACTTATTCAAGATATGAAACATTAAAAAGTAGATACCCACATTAATTTTTTCTCAATATGTAAAAAATTTTGTATTAAAAAGATAATCTTTATGTGATTTTTTGTTTGTTTGTTTGTTTTTGAGACAGGGTTTCTCTGTGGCTTTGGAGCCTGTCCTGGAACTAGCTCTTGTAGACAAGGCTGGTCTCGAACTCACAGAGATCCGCCTGCCTCTGCCTCCCGAGTGCTGGGATTAAAGGCGTGTGCGCCACCAACACCCGGCTATATGTGATTTTTTTTGTCTGTTGTTAGGCAAAATATTACCCTGTAGAGAGTAACTAAAATACTAAAACTTTGTTGTTAAGCTTTTACAGTCATTATCCAGGGAGGGTTAATGTAAATTAATTCCTTTTATGCTTTTCTACTTTCCAAAACAAATTTTTTTCTATTGTATTTATTTTTCTTTCTGGAGGTGCTGGGTCTTGAGCAAAGTTCATTGAGCATGCCCTTCTACAGAGCTACGTCCTCAGGTCCCGGAAATGAAACTACTAAATTATAAAAGTAATGTGTCAGTGTTGAAAATGGAGCGAAAGTCATCCAACACTCTTTTGTAGCAGCACACTAAGCGTTCAGATAATATGTGTTACCGTTTCCTTTATAATCATACTTTGGACGCATACATTTTTACATAGTTCTCCATCATAATTATGTGTGTCACTTTGTACCTCTGCTGTTAGGATACATGATTTGTTGTGGTTAACACATGACCTTCATAATTTACTTAGCTATTTTAAAAGTAGCACTTAGCTTTCTTCATTTTTAAAGGAGAAAGTGGAGCAATTTTAGGTTTGATTTTTCAATTGCTTGAATATCAATGTGACTAAAAATATTTTCTATAATGCTTGTTACCACATTTCATCTTTATTTCAATTTCCTCAATTATATGTTAGGGTGTTTTACAGGTTTTCTCAAGTAGCACTCAGAAGTCAATGCACTTAAATTAAGCCTTTTGTAGTTCCTGTTGACAGGTTAAATATTAGAGGTAGAAAGAAAAAAATAATGAAGAAAAGGAAGAAAATGCTACAAGTAGATTTTGATTTTACAGATCAAAGGTGAGACTGGCTTCAATCAGAATTAACCCAGGAAAATCATCCAACAGGTTTAGTTGTAATTTCCCAACATTCCTTAGGTACTAATTGAATGGTGTAAGTAAAGAAAGCAAACTGGCTAAAGGAGATAGTCATTCCTTAAAAATATTTTAAAGCTACATTTATACAGCTTTTCTCACAGCCTGCTACTGATATTGATGGCTTGTTTGAGAGGACCTAGACTCAAGTATTTATGTGTGGAGAAGATTTTCAAGGAATATGTGACTAGCTGGACACGATGGTATACACCTATAATCCTAGTGTTTGTGAGGCTCCTGAGCTCCATAGCTAGTTCAAGGATACCCTGGCCTACGGGAAACTGTTTTAAAAAAAAAAAAAAATTTTTTTTTTTTTTTTTTTTTTTTTTTTTTTGAGATAGGGTTTCTCTGTGTAGCTTTGGAGCCTATCCTGGCACTCGCTCTGGAGACCAGGCTGGCCTCGAACTCAGAGAGATCCGCTTGCCTCTGCCTCCCGAGTGCTGGGATTAAAGGCATGCGCCACCAACGCCGGCAAAAAAAAAAGATATTAACATAGTTTTGTTGATCAGTTTTGCCAGCTATTTATATATATCTTAGAGGTTTTTATTATTTATTTTATTTTATTTATTTATTTATTTATTTTTTTTGTGAAAACCCCAAACCATTGAACTTATCATTGTGTCCGTTTTAAAGCGTACAGTTCGGTGGTTTAAGCATATCCACATTGTGCAGAGGAGGTGATTCTTAAGGACATGTTTGTTCTTTGGTTTTTTAAGTCCACCATGATGACAAGGGAACAAATACAGAAAGAGTATGATGCGCTAGTTAAAAGCTCGGAAGATCTCCTCAGTGCACTGCAGAAAAAGAAACAGCAAGAAGAGGAGGCAGAGAGGCTGAGGCGCATTCAAGAGGAGATGGAGAAGGAAAGGAAGAGGCGCGAAGAGGACGAGCAAAGGCGGCGGAAGGAGGAGGAGGAGAGGCGGATGTAAGCCATTTGCAGAGTTCTGACTAGGAGCCTAAGGCTGATAGATGATGGCTGTTCTCAAGCTATGTCCTACTCATATCAGATGATTACCAGCTATGTATTTAATTATCTATCTATATATTTGTTTATTTCTTCATTTATTTATTTATTGTGACAGGGATTCAGAGCTGGTCTGGAACTCCCATCCTCCTGCCACAGCCTTCTGAGTGCGCATTATACTCACATACCAACACGCCTGGTACAAATCAAACAATTTTAGAATGAGTTTGCAAAAAAATTTAATGCTCATTTTATATAGTTACATGAATTTGTTAACTACAGGTTGGGTGTTCCTAATCTGTAACTCTAAAAACTAAGAAGAAAATTTGAAGTCTGAAATTTTTTTATTACGTGTGAGCTTTGTGTGTGTGTGTGTGTGTGTGTGTGTGTGTGTGTGTGTGTTCTTTGCCATGGTATGCTTATGGAAATCAGAGAACAGCTTGTGGAGTTGGTTCACTCCTTCATCACATGGGTTTTGGGATTGATAGTATCAGTCTTGGTGGCAAGTGCCTTTATCTGTTGGCCCTAAAGTCTGAAACTTTTTGCGTGAGTGGTATCACAAAAACTTAATTTAATACAATCTAGCTGTATTTTATTCTTTGGCTTCTGGAGACAGGGTCAATTAGCTCTGGCTGACTTCCATTTTTGCTATATAAACCAGGCTGTCCTCAAACTTGTAGCCCTCCTCTTGCCACTGCTTCTTGGTGCTGTGTTTACAGGCATGAGCCACCCTGCCCAGAAAATTTTGTTTTGTAACGTATTAACCATACATATTAATGGGATTCATGTGATGCTAAGATGCATGTGTAGTGTACATTTGACACACCCACCCACCCTTTTCTCCTTCTCCCCATCTCTTCACCTGGCAAGCTCTCTTCAGCATCTCTGGAAATCACTATTCTACTTTTGGATAGAGTTCTCTCTTTTCCTTAAGTTTCCCCATAGGAGAGAACACACGGTTCCTGTGTTTCTTCTAAGTCTGGCTTATTTCCACTTCCACCCATCTTGCTGCAGATGGCAGGATCTCATTCTTCACCCCCTGCTGTGCTCCTGGACTGATTCTACACCCTAGTTATTGTGAATACATGGGCATGCAGTTCACCCTTTCATACACCAACTTTATTTCCTTGGGCTGTGAACTCATCATTACCCAGTTAATATCTGGAAATGCTTTACGTTATGGAAGATGATTGCATTTGTTTTGCTTAAGAATTGTTTAGGGGAGCTAGACTTTATGATATTTGAACCTAGCGGATGATGTGTGTGGTCCGAGGCTGGCTTGGGTTCATCCTGCTCTCTGGTACTTGTTCACTTATAGCTCAAGTTTGTCTCCTGAAAGATTTCTCATAGTTAAAAGTCTGAAGAGTTCTCTCTCCCATTCTCAGGAAACTTGAGATGGAAGCAAAGAGAAAACAAGAGGAGGAGGAAAGGAAGAAGAGGGAAGACGACGAGAAGCGGATCCAGGTATGTGCTTATTGGACTGTGTTTCTATCAAATAGAATCTGCAAGTAATGAAGAAACTGATGTGAAACCCTGGTTTGCCCAAGTAGCTATCACTGGTTTACCCCAGGGGTTAAAAGCTGATTCTGAAGGGAGTGTGGGATGGGGACTTGGTGCTAGAGAAGTGAGTTCAAATCTAGGCTTTGTCACCAACAGAAATGATGACAATATATATATATTATTATATAAATATAATATAAAATTATATAAATATAAAATTATATATATAATCACAATGAATTTCTTTCTGTAGACTGGGGATAATTAATAGTTGTATTAAATGAGTTACCACATAGTAAAGATTGTACAACAATTCCTAGTTCAGTAACCATTAGTTTTGTTTCTATATTGAGGGGAAATTCAGACAAGCATTCACTTAAAACATAACTTTGGGAACCAGAAAACATTATGTTAAGTGAGGTAATCAAGGGGCAGGAAGACAAATGCATGTGCCCAGGTGGGAGCAAGTGTGGGCTCAGGCCAGTCAACTAGAAAGGGACCAAGAGATGTGAAAAAGAGGTGTTAAAGGGAAGACAACAGCCCAAAGTGAGGGAGAATTCTGGGAGGGAGAGGATGCCGTGGGGAAGGGGGCAGAGAGCTGAGGTAGGGATGGGGACGTCAACCCAAATGAAATATGTATTAAAAATCCCACATGGGAATCTATTACTTCATAGTAATAAAAGTTAATCAAAGAAAAAGGGTATCAGTTTGAGAGTGGGGGAGATATGGAAGAGTTGGAAGGAGGGGACATGGGAAGGTCGGGAAGGAGGAAAGGTAACGGGGAAGTGATGTAATAATATTGTAATTAAATATGTTTTAAAAATTAAAAGCTTGCTTCTTAAAAAATGGCTTCAGTGTTCTACAGTGTTATTTTATAAGTACAGGTACCACTATGAATGAGCTAGGCTTAAGACAGTTGTAACTTGTAGTTTGCTTGTTTTTATTTGTTTCTGGCTATCCTGGAACTTGCTCTGGAGACCAGGCTGGCCTTGAACTCACAAGAGATCTGCCTGCCTCTGCTTCCTAAGTGGTGGGATTAAAGCGCCTTTACCACCCGGCCCTCAATCCCCAGTGTTTAGAGTTCTGTTTGAGAGCGGTTGATCATGTTTCTCTTGTCTGGCTTTCATAGTGTATGCTTGTAAGTGTAACCATTCAGTCTGCACCCGGATGCTCGCATGGCACTGGGGAAACTCACACTGGGTCACAGAATGGTGGAACCATGCAGCTTCTCCCGCCATTTGGCATTGGGGAAGTGAAGCATTAATGATAATTGGGGCGGGGGTGGGGGGAGGGCGGCTGTAAGAGTGAGAGACTGTGTTTAAGTAGCGTCTGAGCAGATAATCTGGCCCGGGCTACTAAGCTTTCCTTTTGTTCGAGGTAATAATTTTGAGTATGAAGAGCTCTTGTTAGGTTGGCTTTTTTTTGTGCTGCAGGCTGAGGTGGAGGCGCAGCTGGCCCGACAGAGGGAGGAGGAGTCCCAGCAGCAGGCCGTCCTGGCACAGGAGTGCAGGGACAGGGAGTTGGCTCTGCGTATCGCCCAGAACGAGTCTGACCTCATCAGTGATGAGGCGCAGAGCGACCTGGCACTGCGAAGGTACTGTTGCTCTGGGTCGACCCTGACCTGGGCTTTCTTGAGCTTCCTGCTTCTTCCCATCTCTATTTGAAGAGGACTAGTAGAGAGCCTTAGGTTTTAGGTTTTGACAAATTTGAAGTAAAACCATTTTAAAAGTAGTTGGATTTACTTTTGTGTGTAATTGAATGAAACGATTGATTTTTTTTTTCCATTTAGTTATTGAACTGTTAGAATATAAAACTCCAATTTTCAGCTAATGGCTTTTCTATTAAGAACAAAACTCAACTTCATTTCTGAAATTGTTTAAGGGTATTGTGTTCTGGGTAGAGATTTAGTTTCTAAATACTTGGTAAATACTGATATAGAAGGTAGTGACTGTATTATAATGTGGCTTATTACGTAAAAAGTAGGGGCTCTTCAGTTTCCTAACACAAATTTGAAACAACACACCACATTCTTAACACTTGCAGTTTACCCTCCCGTGCCTCAGAGCAAGACCTATTCCTTTACAAAGAGGAAAGCCAATCTTACAGAATTAATTTGGTTCCTTAGATTCTGAATTTTGTCTAGAGATTATGGTGGAGTTTGGAACAGCATGGGTGTTCTTAATACTTGGTGTTAAGTTGCAGAAAAGTTAATATTTCTCATTTAAGAATTTTAGAATCTATAATCATACATTTTTATTATTCATTCAAAAAGGCCAAACATATTTGTGAGGGGTATATACTTTCTGTATCTTGAGAGGTGTGATTAGACATGTTTTCAGAACAATGTCCGGGACATATTAAATTACAGCCACTAGATGGCGCTATTTGCTTGCCAAAGGAAAAAGCAGCGCCATTCAGGTGGTTAGATTTTATTTAGCTGCAAAGATGTTTTTGTTCATTTGTCATCACAAGTTTTTCCAGTGTGTGATTATGTAAAAAGCTGTGGAGTCTGAACCATATATGAAGGTATATGATATTGTAAATGAGATGACTAGGACTGTACACACAAAAGTGGCTATAATAATTACATAAATTATGTATGTGGCATATACTTGGCTACTGCTGTACTAAACATTTCTTAGTTGTTTTTCCAGCTTAAGTTCCTGTTCAGCAACTTCTAAGTAAGATTTGTTTGCACACATGTAATATGTTTTCAAATATCATCTTAATCCATTATTGATCCTTGATGCAAACTGATAACTTCAAATCACACGAAATTGTAGAGACATCCAAATTTATATCAACACCAAATCACACAGGATATGAACGTCTGAATTTTCCAATCTTAATGTATTTGCTCTTTAATTTTTACTAATTCCATTAATTTATTATTTTGCAATCTTTCTAATGACTATTTTTAAAACACCAATGATCTTATATAGATTAAACATAACTTGTATTCTTAAATCAATGAGTAATTAGAACACAAATTTACAATTCTTACAATCCAGATTTTTACAATTCAGCGCTGGTGATGATAGTAACCAAAACATATTCTTTTCACAGAGCTAATGGAGCAAGACCACAAATGACACCGTATGTCATTTCTCTTCATCTCTTTAAAGATTGGGCTTTAGTTTTTGAGAAGTAGTTCCCTCCTTGGAGTAAATTCTAAATTGCTTCCTTTTATCAAAAGACAATGAAATAATTTTTCCACTTTTTCTTGCCTAGGGGAGTGTCCGGTGCTCAACCGTAGAAGTTCATGAATTGCTCTCCTTTTTTCTGTTGTTTCGACTCTAATACCAACTTGTTTTATGTGTTGTAAGACACATTTACTCTATTATCTTTATAGCAGGTGTGGAAGAGTAAATAAGAATAAGTAAAATACTTAGCTTTCAGTGTATATGATGATTAATTATACTAATCCGTGAAATGGGTCTCCATCTGAGGTTCATACATAATACTCCTTTTGTTGTTGCGTTTCCCCAGAGAGAGGCTCTTAATAACACCGGAAAAATGACAGAGCATATTGTACACAGCTATAAAACATTTAAGGATGTTTATACAACCTGAATTTTAACAGCATTAAGATAGTTCTCAACTAAGACCACAGCGTCAAGAGAAGGTGTTTCATAAATAACATGGATGAACACATGTAAAGGGGAAAGGACAGCCATTCCTGACGACATTTCAATTATGATGTTGCATGGACGCTACAAAGACATGGTCCAAATCGGATTTTCTGCCTACATAGAGAACCACCATGAATGCTATAGCTAGAAATGCAAACTGATAAGAGACCGTCCCACAGGCTCTAGAGCCACAGCAGCACGAACAGTCCTCTTCAGAGTCCCAAACAAAACTAGGTGTGATCTCTTCTCGGTTATACAATGTTTGCATCTGCATAAAAAGCTGCGTATTAAAAAAATAAAAAATTGTGCATTAAAACTATGAAGAAATGCGTTAACATTTAAAACAATTTACATGTAAAATATATTTTCGTGGGTATGCTTCACTTTTTATGTGCCTGGCATACATGCGGATCTTGTGTGGGCCAGAGGAGAGTTCCTGTTCAGGACACAACATCTCAGCAGACACCAGGAGTGCAAACTTGCAGCATTGTTATTACCTCACCACCAGCCAGGAATTTAGAATACTTGCTGAGTGGCCACTGTTTACTCTCCCTCCATGAGAACAACTACTTTATAGTTGTCATTTGAACTTGTTAAATAAACACTGTAATTAATGTCAGAGGTGAAATCCAAGCATTTGCAGGCAGCTCAGCACTTCAAGAAGAAGAAAGTGCCTAGGTGCAGGGGCCAGTTTTGGCTCAGCAAATCTCATGTAGTTGGTATAGAATCTGGTGTAAAATGTTGGTGAGAGTCAGGGATGAGGGTGATTTGGTAGAAGTTGTCTCCTGGTTTGGAAACATTCGGAGACATCTCTATGGTCAAAAGACCAAGTGATCTAGAGCTCAGGAAAGTGATTTCACTCCTTGGGAACCTGCTGTGAATAAACCGTTGGAAGGCACTTCAGGAGAAGGAGATGGTAAACACAGACAGAAACTTGGAGGCAGGAGGACAATAGAAGTACAAATATTTTAATGACTATACTTTTAGAAAGTTACAAAAGTTTGAAAAACTGATAGTATAACTAGAGATGGATAGTATATTGCTGAAAAGACAGTTTTATTAGATTACATTTGCATAGTTCATTTTGTGGGTTTCATCTTTGCTGGTCAGCTTTTGCAGGTGTAGTTTCTTCTACGGTGCTTGTTTAGACAACTCTCCATCTTTACCAAGTGTTTATACACACACACACACACACACACACACACACACACACACACAGTGAAAACCCCTGCCCCTTAATCAGAGTTCCAGCACTTTGTAGGCATCTAGGAAACTACCCACAGCCAATATATCCATCTTTTTAAGGTGCAATTTTTATGTTTTTACTGAAGTGTTTGTGGTTGTTAGAGTTGGGTGAATAGAACTTTTGTGAAAATTATTAACTATGGAGGACATAAAAAGCAAAGGACAGAGATGAAACGGAATCAAGAAAGTGTGGGTTTCTTGAACCCAATGAAACTGTCACTCCGGCTAACAGAATTAAGCAAATGCTGAGAGAAGTGGCAGTCTCCTGAGCAATTAAAGAAAGGGCAGCCTTTTCTTTCAGATGCACTAACCCTTTCGAGGTCAGATCACATCGGGCATTTCATTTAACAAGTGCTTGTATTGATTGTCTCTGTTTTTCTTTTTTAAATATATACCTTGGTTTGGAACTGAGGATCTCTAGACTTGTTATTTGAGCACATCAGCTTGGTTTGCCACCTTGAAACTTTGTCTAACTAATTAACAAGGATGCACCAAGCTACTTTGCTGCAAAAAAAAAAAAAAAAAAAAAAAAATCCTTGTAAGGCATCTATATCCTGCCAAGTTTTCTGTGTGCATTTAGAGCATGCTATTTATATTCTGCACATAAAAGCTACCACTGAAGCATAGCCCTCATGAAATTTTATCTGAAAAATTTTACACAGTGATAGAGATGTGCTCAAATAACTTTACACTCAAAGATCTTGGTGTGTTTTATGGATAGAATTAAGGAAAAGTATGTCGTTAATAGATATCTTATGAAGTAAAATGATTACAGTATTGATAGTATTAAAAATTAATTATATTTTCATATATTTCAAGCAACTTATGTGATGTGCCTTTTATATAATTGTGTTATATATTATCATTTTTTTTCTTGTAGGGAACAAATGGCCAAAGAAATGTCAGAAATTTTGAGTAGGTTAGTGCAGTATATTTACAGAAATAAGTATTTACTACAAAAATCATATTTTTAAATTCCTTTTGATTATTTGGATTAGAACCTGTCATATGAATGACTCACTCATTTCCTTAATAAAATTTCTGTATGAGAAATACCACCCTAACACAGAAAGAAGCAATATTCTTCTAATCGTGTTTCTCACTGAGGAAGCAGCTGGCATTTTGGATGGGGCAAGTCTTCAAGGTGCTGGGCTGGGCTCTCACTCTCATCCCCATGGAATGAGTACTTTGGACCGCCCTCCCCTCCAGTTTGGGAGCCACATTGCCTAGCTGAGGGGGATGTAGAGTAAGGTGGATCTTCACCGTGAATGGTACTTTAAAATCCACTGGTGCAAATTTAATTTTCAGATAAAATAACCTCCTGCTAGTATCTAATCCATAGTTTCTTTTTTTGATTATGAGCCTACCCTTTAATGGCTGCTTCATCTCTCCAACCCTAGTCCATACTTTTTTAAAAGTATAGTTGAAATCAATAATATTTTGATAACTTTAAATTTTCAAAATTAATTAAAGTGCTAAGTTAGTAAGTCTTAAAAATCAAGTAAATTCTATTATTATTTTAATGTTTGTGTAATTGTCTTTATGATAAGGTTAATCAGTAGATTATACTTTTGCTTTACTATTCTAATAATACAGAGATGGGGAGGGGAGCATTTGCATGCATTGAGTTCATTTACTTCTAACTCCAAATATACTTTTACCAGGTTTAAGAATATGAATGAAAAGCTAGGGTTATGTTTTGTGCAACAATGATTTGAATTCAGCGTTATCTTCAGAATGTATCAAAGCATAACGCACACCTGCAAACACATATATGCATATACTTGTGTCTTATGTATCTTTGACCATCAAACTATATATATTATAAAAGTTGAATTCCTTTTTTAAAACAAAAGGAAAAACTCATAATTATTCTCAGCTATGTCTATTTAGCGTAACATCTGTGTTCCTCTTTTCCATGTTTTGAAATCTGATGTGTTTAACATCTTTCTTTGTTATATCGATCTTAAAATAAACCATGAAGCTTGATTCTGAGTGCCTGCCTCTTGGTCAGTGTGTTTCTTGGTTAAATATGTAAAAAATCTATGATTGCAGAGGTCCTGCTGTACAAGCTACGAAGGCAGCTGCTGGCGCCAAGAAACATGATCTCAGTAAATGGAAATATGCAGAGCTGCGTGATACAATCAATACTTCCTGTGGTAAGTGAATTGAGAGGATGAAGAGGAGGGGGGGCCATACCAGTACCAGTATGATAAATACTTAGACTGGGGTGCCGTGTGTGTGTGTGTGTGTGTGTGTGTGTGTGTGTGTGTGTGTGTGTGTGTGTGTACAATGTACGTGTGCCTGTATATTTGCTCCCTTGTTTGTTCCTTTGAAAATAAAGACACAAATTAGTCACAAAATGAAAAGAAAGGTATGTATTCTGGTTTCTTTCATGTTGCTGGGATAAAATGCCCTGACAGAACGGATGCCAGGGGAGAAAGTGTTTATCGTAGCTCATGGTTTCAGGTTATAGCCTATCAATGCAGGACAAGGAGGCGAGGGCCGATGGTCCAGAAAGAGCAAATGCACACATGTAATTTCCTGCTTGTCCACTCTTGCTCAATCCTGCTTCAAACCCACGGAATGCTACTGACCATGGTGGGCTGGGCCTTCACACCTTCTTAATGCAGTCTCCCACAGATGTGTCCACAGACAGACTAGCCTGATCCAGACAGTGCCTCGTTGAATCTCTTTTCCATTTTAACCCTTGCTTGTATTTGAGCACATTTTCTTCTTAAAAACCTTTTGGATGCAATTTCTTCGTATAAAAAACGCCTATGTAGTCAAGAGTTCTTGAGTTGAGTGAATGATATAGGATAATAATAGTATGTGAGTTAATAATCCATCAATGGGAAAGATTGTGAAATGCTCACCCTCAGCTTACTTTTTATCTTGTACTAGAAACTAAAATCCCAAACCTGTTATAGACACCTGTTCATGCTATGAATATTCATGTCAGATGAATAATTGGAATAATTTAGGATGTTAATTCTTTTCTTTCTCTGTAACCAATAGACATTGAGCTCCTGGCAGCATGCAGAGAAGAATTTCACAGGAGACTGAAAGTGTACCATGCCTGGAAATCCAAGAACAAGAAGAGAAACACTGAAACAGAGCAGCGGGCTCCCAAGTCTGTTACTGATTATGGTAAAAACAAATCTGTACTTTTCAATGTTCCAAGTATATCGTATATAAATGCGCATAACTATACATGATTTTTTTTGAGTAAAACAGTCAACATAAATTTCTCATATTATGATCTAGTGAACATGATACAACCATGATTACCGGTCTTATAAGAAGTTATACAATACCAAGTACATAGTTCCACATATAAGCACATACACACACAAATCAATATTATGTGAGGAGGGCTAGTGACATTTTGGGTCCAGTGCTTGCCTAGCATGTGCTATTCTCAACATTGCAAAAAGTCCAAACACAAACAAAAACGGTTACACATGAAAATGTCAAGGTTACTATGGTCAGTTCTTTCTGGATGCTCATGAGCGTACATATGAAAATTAGCATTTTTATATTGCTAACCAGGGTCTTATTTTTATTTTCTATTTTTTTAATTTTGAGATTTAATCTAGCTTTTAGAGTAGTTCCTCAAATAACAAAATACGTTTTTAGTATGAAGGTATACATCCCTTCTGGTGCCTTAATTGGGATAATAGCCTAGAGAAGGAAAGAATTGGTGCTTGTGTTCTCCACCACCATGCTGATTGTCCTATTTAAAAAAGGTTCACTACAGATTTTATTTTCAAATACTGTGAGTTTTGCCTAGATGCAGAAACCAAGTGTTCACTTGAGCCAGAAAGTAGAGCACCGCAGACCGTCACAATGGCTCAGATGATCTGTAATGTGAGCTAGATCTAAAGTTCTTAGACAAAATTTGTCTTTTTTGTGTGTGCATGGGTGTTTTTCCTGGATGTATGTGTTGTGCACCACAGGTGTGCAGGCCAGAGGAAGGCATTAGATCCCCTGGAACCAGAGTTACCGATAGGTCTTATTTGCTATGTGTGGGCTGGGTGTTGAACCTAGGTCCACACAAAGAGCAGCCAGTGCTCTTAACCACTGAGACATCTCTTCAGCCCCAGCTTTTCAAAATTGGAATTTCATTTGTCACCTGGATACTTTTATATCAGCACAATATTTCTTAATTCAGATTAGCGTCAAAGGCAACATGTGACCAGCCATGTGGTTTATCAATGTATTGAGTCTGAGTTCTCAGGTGTGACTTTAAGCACTCACCACTTTCCCAGGAAATAAAAGCAATATTTGATAAGATTCAGTTAAGTGGTTAAGGACCTCAGTGTTTCTCAGTTGCTGCAAAGAGTTACTGAGGTCAATATTGTTAACAAGGAAGATAGTGCTAGTGACTGTTCAGGGGCAGTTTTCAGCAAATCTTTATAGGATGAGGTCATGGGATCATCTATAGCTGAGATATGGTAAGCTTTAAAGGTGGAAGCCCCAGTGAACATTGAGTTCAAAACTCCCCTTCAACGTTTTCTCTGCATATTGAAAATGACAGTATGGCTATGTGTCCTGTTTATTGTTATATATTAAGATTTTGCTGCAAATCGTGTTTGTTTTGTATATAGCCCTCCTCCCCTGCCCACACACACAAGAAAAGCCATGGGCTCTTCCTTTAGCTCTACTATTCTTCCCTGTGAACATTTTTATAATTGCCTTTACCTTGATAGATTTCCATTGTCTTATAAAACGTACACATCTGAGTCAGAACATCACAAAGGAAGGGGTTTGCAAATGCTCCATGGAGTTTTTTGCTATTTTAAAAAAAAAAATCTACATTTGTCCCCAAATGGAGTAAATAACATCTTGCTGCTGTAAGTACAGTGTAAGGTCAGGGAAATTTCTTAAGAGTCCTATCCAGAAGTAAAAAAAAAACAATGAACTTAAGAATTTTATGCAAATCAATCAATATGTTAACATTCAGAAAATTAGAATATGAGCCATTTTCACCACAAAAATCTACTTCTACCTGTAAAGTATTTATCATGCTTTTCTCTGTGTATTTTTCTCATATAAACTTCAGCCTGATGGAGGAATGTAGTTGGAAGGAGGTGTGGAAGGCATCCAGATACTGTACAGGTCAATGGAGAAAATTCTATGTTGTGTAGTCTTTATATTTAGAAGTATTGGAATTCATTTGAAAACATGAAATGAGGACACTTTGTAATTCACAGAAAAAAACTTGATGCCATTGATAAACTGGTAAATTTCTACAGCGATGAGTAAGAAGTGTCAGTCCCCTTTCCTGGGCTGTCTGAGCGCGCTCTCTTCTCATTTATCACACCAAGAGAGCTTCATAAATAATTTTGGACAGTGGTAAATCACCCAGTGAATATTTATAATTGCTTTAAACCATGGATTTTGGAAATAGTTTAATCCAGCTTTCTAAACTAAAAATGGCACAAGTTTAAGATTTAAGAAATTTGAAGAAATTATTAGAATATATTGACTGTCTAAAAACAGTACTGTTTATTATTATTATTATTATTATTATTATTATTATTATTATTATTATTATTATTATTATTATTATTATTATTATTATTATTATTATTATTTGGTTTTCTGAGACAGGGTTTCTCTGTGTTGCTTTGGAGCCTATCCTGGCACTCGCTCTGGAGACCAGGCTGGCCTTGAACTCACAGAGATCCACCTGCCTCTGCCTCCCTAGTGCTGGGATTAAAGGCCTGTGCCACCAATGCCTGGCTCTGTTTATTATTATTAGTTTTTTTTTATGTCCCCAAATTATAAATTAAGTATAATTTTAATATTTTGTTACTCTTCACCTGTGCCTCAATCAGAATTTCCTAAAATATAGTTAATTAAAGTATCTTTCCTCCCTTCCTCTCTTCATTTCTTTCTTTCTTTCTCCTATGCTTTCTAAAACAGTTCTTAAAATCAGAACACCATGTACATATAGGCAAGTCTTTGAATTCTTTGCTACAGATAGAATATTTCCGTTTTGGTCACCACCTCAATTGATGCAACAGATTTATAAATTAGAAAAATGCTCATTTAATGGCTTTGGCATTGTTATCTTTTCTTCAACATACAATATTTGTTCACAGATTTTGCACCATTTTTGAACAATTCACGTAAGTCAATGGGTGGTAACACATGAGCTAACTGGAAGAGGGCTTAAACTACTTTCTAGAGTACTAACTTTCTGCCAAACACTGTTTTGCTACGTTGTAAGTGGAGTTGTAGTATATGAAACATGCCTACCTGCATTAAGATACATCTTAACTTGAGATATGCTCCATTTTTTCAGATCGACCCAAAACATGTGGGCTGAACAATGATTGAATAAATGATGGTATCATCTACCAAATTTTATGTATTTAAAACTGGGTGTGTGCACCTCTTACTGTAGCAAAATGCTGTCTTCACTTCCCAGCTGACCCTTCTAGAAGAAAGACTAACTCTTAGGTGCTGGGTGCAGATGCTGCGCTGTGATGGTACCTGTGTTTCTGTCCAAGGAGATTTGAGTTCTTTGTAGTAATATGCACAGATTTAATAATGACAGCTGCTAGCAGAAAGAGGGAGATAACTTTCTGTGATGGGCATCTCCCTCCACACCTTAGAAACTCTGGGTTGCCTTTACCTACAGTAAGTTCCTGGAGTTGAGCAGTTAGGTTCATTTGCCAGAGGGTGGGGCCTGATTTTTCTAAGTGCATCTTATAATTTATTTATATTTTTGATTTGTTGTTTAAGGCATCATCTCACTGTGTAGCTATCCCAGACTGGCCTCAGCCTTCCAAGTGCTAGAGCTTGTATTTCCTTCCCTCTGACTTTTAAAGTGAACACTGTTGGAGGAAAGCTAACTGTTGAGATTAGTTTCAAGATTTTAATGTCTGGTGATTTTAACTGAAGTTCTTCACTCTTTTCAATATAATTTAAGTCTGTTTTACTCAGCATATTAACTTCAGGAGGCGGTTATTTCAGAAAATAAGTTAATGAATAGAAACTGTCAATGCCCTAGTAAATTTCCAGTCACTCATTCACTACCCAGAAGGGTTGGTGTTTTCAAATTATTTATGTACTTAAGTTTGGGTGTTGGGGGGTCTCCCTCTATAGCTCTGGCTGGCCTAAAGCCAGTGTGCAATGGACAAAACAGGAGCAAGAAAACAAACCATCTCTACTTCTATGCTGAAGACCATGCAGGTCCTAATGTCTCTAACAAAATGGGCCCCTCATTCTTTCATAGGCCTGTGTGGCCTCCTTATGTGCTTTTTTTGCTTTCTCTCATTTGCAAATAGATAAATCTAACTTCCCACAAGCTATTGCTGTTTCTTGGGGCAAAAACTAGAGCAGGAGTATTTTCATTCTTTTGATGTTTTTGCAAGTTCTTAGAAAAGCCACATGGCTGTGCGTGGTTTCTATATGTTGTACACTCTTTCATGGTGCTCTCTGTATTTCATATTGAGGTTCTTAGAACGGCAGCAAATTGTTGTTCTACTTTCAAAGCTAAGATATAAAGCTTATAAACAGCCTTGCCAGAATTATGCTGCTCAGGATGTAAAGCCATTGCTCTAGGAATGTGTTTACATTTGCACATTAAATAAAAGCCCAGTCATTCAGTACTGAATCGAGCAAGGGTTAGAACTAGTAAAAAAGGAAGAATTTTTTTCTTTCTATTGGCAAGGAAACAGGTATAGTATACACTTTCCACCTATTTCAGTGGGTTTTCTGCCAAGAGAAATTCCATTTCAAAGTAAATATTTTTGAGGAAAGGGCCATACTCCCTGTTATAGGTAGGGATTTGGGTGGATATGTTTCTCTAAATGCTGTTATCTATGCTATCTTGGCCTTTAAGAAACCCAAAGTGGGTAAAAGAGAAAAAAAATTTGAGTGGATTTCTCTTTTTGAGGAAAATATAGTTAGGTGAACAAATCTTTCTCATTTTAAAATTACTAAATAATAAATAGTTAGTTTTAAGTAGTTAAATATAAGTTATTCTTCAACTTTAACTTGAAATTCTGTTGGAAAAATAATACTAGACTGCTTGCCTGCCATGTGAATTAATTTAGTGTTACTGATAAGCCATTTGTGGGAATCTGGTAAGGGTTATGTTGCCTCTGGTGGTGGTGGTGGTGGTGGTGGTGGTTGTGGTGGTGGCAACAGCAGTGTGTGTGTGTGTGTGTGTGTACACCATATTCTGTGTGTACACAGTGCTTTAGCATGTGTGCTGTGTGTGTGCACAATGCTTGAGTGTGTGTATGTATATCATTCATGTGCGTGGATGCTTAGATGCGTGTGTGACCTTGTGTGTGCACAATGATTGGGGATATGTGTGTGTGTACCATGTATGTGCACAGTACTAGAGTGTGTATGTACTGTGCATGTGCCCATGCCTGGCTATGTGTGTACATATACCATGTGTGTGCACTGTACATATGCACAGTGCTTGGGTGTGTATATGAATGCATGCACATTCATAGTGCTAAGAAACATCTTTCGGCAAAGACAATTCTAAGAAATCCCACTCTGAATTTGGTTCATTAGGAGGCAGCTAATACTGACATTTGAAATTTACTAGTAGGAACCTCTGTTCTCCCCTCCCCCTTCTAAATGTCTCGGTGTATTTTAGGAATGCTGTCTGTTTTCCTTTCCCACGGGCGGCTGGTGTAACATTGCCTGTTCTGTATAATAGCTCAGCAGAACCCTGCAGCTCAGCTTCCTGCCAGGCAGCAGGAGATTGAGATGAACCGACAGCAGCGTTTCTTCCGTATCCCGTTCATCCGCCCTGCTGACCAGTACAAAGACCCTCAGAACAAGAAAAAGGGCTGGTGGTATGCCCATTTTGACGGACCGTGGATTGCTCGGCAGATGGAACTCCACCCTGACAAGCCACCCATCCTTCTTGTAGCTGGTGTGTATAATTCACAGGGGAAAAAAATCAAACAAAAAGGATTGTAAAACCTTGGTAAAACATTCTAATGTATATAATGTAATAAGTCAGTCACTGCGTTTCAGAGTTGAATGACAGCTTTGCAATTCGATTGTGTTTCCAGTTAGTGGAAGATTAACTAACTGATTTACAAGGCAACATGGTTTTTGTGCCTGTTTAGAGACCATAAAAATATATATCCTACGAAACTTGTCATTGGTGTTTATATCTGTCTGTGATTTTGTACTAGTTTTGAGGGCATACAGAATTTGTATTAACCCTGATAACTTCTTTGATCAATGGTGGGGTTTATATATTTTGAGAATCCTTAGTGGGGGCAAATTTAAGTGATTTATGGAGAACTTAATAAGATTTCTGTCTTAGAGAAATAGTTATAGGTTCTCAAATCTGTGAGAATTGTTGGGTGTTCCAGGAGAAGCACTCATAAAAATGCCGTGCAAAGAGATGGTAATTTCTCGATGTCTCTTGTCTGCAGGCAAGGATGACATGGAGATGTGTGAGCTGAATCTCGAGGAGACAGGTCTGACTCGGAAGCGTGGGGCTGAGATCTTGCCCAGACAGTTTGAAGAGATCTGGGAGCGCTGTGGAGGCATCCAGTACCTTCAGAGCGCCATTGAGAGCAGGCAGGCCAGGCCTACCTATGCCACGGCCATGCTGCAGAACCTGCTCAAGTAGACCACAGGCTTCCAGCCTGGCCCTGGCTTGCACAGGCAGGGAGGTGATCAGAAGGGTCGCCATTTCCTTGCTCCTGGTAGGACGCCTTATGCAAAGTGAACAGATTTTATTAATTATGGATTTTGTTAATTTGCTCAAGGTTAATTAAGGTTGACATAGTGGATTCAGGACCTAAAAAGAGAATAGCCCTGGTCCCAGAAATGACTCCCCCACGTCTCGCTGTTCTGATGTTTTTAGCATCTGGGCAGATTTCACACTCCTCACTCTCTGCACACTGACTACCTTAAGTCCATGGTGATTGTTCTCAAGGACAAGACTTCCTTTTTTTTTTTTTAATTTCAAAAGACTTGGTTTTTATAGAGGATGACAAGTGCCTTTATAAATGGGATAATGGAATCTTCGCTTTGTTTTGTGCAAGAATTAAGGTACTTAAAATGATTAAGGCTCAGATGGTTTTGGTCTAAAACGTTGTATTTTGTCTGCTTTTTCAGAAATCTATGGAAATGGGTTTATCCCTTCTTGCAGTGTGCTTAGCCTGAGTGAAGCCCAACTTCTAGAATTCTGGAAAGAGACTTAATGTATAGGATGTATTATGTGTAGAAGAGGTGCCGGGCCTATGCAGCATAGACATAGGGCACTTTCCTACCAAGCTCTGTGTTACCCTTGGAATCTCCTCTTCCTAAATCATGGTTGAGTAAAGGCATTTCAGGTCATTCGAATGACTGGACATTTTGATACAGCTTTGTTTCATTTTGGAAGGGACACAGGGTTGAGGTGGTGCTGTAACTTTCCTGGATTGAATGCTAATCCTTCCCCCACTTCATCTCAACTGTGATTTTTCAGTTTAAGCCTTGTCCAAATTATTTCATGTGATTTAAGCCGGTGTGCTGCTTCAGACATCTCTCCTTCCCCTTTCCCTATTCTGAGCATCTGTTTTGGTCTTTGGAACTCTAATGGTAGAGCTGTTTTGTAAACTTTGTAACTCAGAAGCCGTTGTACTTAGACAGCTTGTTTCATGCCTCAGGTGGTTTTTAAAACACTCCCTTTTGTGTGCTGTCAGTCCTCATCAGATGGCAGCAGCTGGAGCTAATATTTATGACTTTAATATTAGGAACTTAGAGACAAAACTGCATTGAGGAGTTATGGTAACACCCAAAGGAGTCTTTGTTTGTATTTTAGAGTAACAGAGAGTAAAATTATTCTTTACACTGCCCTTGTTTTATATACCCTAACTGTTGAAATTTCAGGGTTCTTTTTTCTTTAGAAAGATGCCTCAGTTAGGAAATATTTACCAGCTGATGAGATCAATGTCTAGAAGCCAGAGATTCTGTTGTCATGACTCCTCCTCTCAAATTGTCTTAGTACCGAAGTACTTATTTATTATGATACTGTGGAAATGATTGTTTTGTGTTAAGGAAATGAAATGGCCCTGTCTATACTAATGATTGAAAATGTGAATCGGATTTTCTCCTGGAGGTTGTCATACTGCTTAGACTCATCCACCATTGGGTCATTTGGTGATGGTGGCAAAAGGTGTAGTTACTGAAATAAACAACCTGTTGTTTCCCTTTCATCTCTCCTTTGATTGGTGTCTTTATTTGTGCAGGACAGCAAATAAGCTTCATTTTCTAATCATCAGTAAATATAGGCCTTGAAAGAAGTCTAGAGGTCTAATGGATTGTTAGTGACTTGTTGGCTCAGCACTATTTTCTGAAGTATTTTTATGTATCTTCTATATCTAAGAATAAGCACTAGATGAAAAATTAACCAGAAAATGGAAATTAGTATAACAGAACTTAAAAATTTAAAGGATTTATAGGAAATATAGGACAGCAAAGCAATGTTGAAAGTTTTTGTGTGTGTGTGTGATTTTTGACTTTGACAATTCTACAGTTAAATATCAGACCATTTTCTACCTAATTATGTCACCCAGCTGTCCTACAATTCATCTGTTTCAAGTAGTCTCCTGAGTTAATTTTGCCAAGCAGGAGAACTGCCCCAATTCAGGCAGGCCTTGAACCTTCCACACGTCAGAGCATGGCACTCAGATCCTTCCAGGGAAACTTTAGGAGGTCATTTTTGGGGGCACAGCAGAAACAGTGCTCTCCGAGACACCAATCCAGCTTCTCTTCCATGTTTTGTAGTTTCAGATCCATTAAGTCTGTGAGAGAACTGGGGGCATCCAAGTCAATTAACTCTTATTCTAATCAGCCATGTAAAATTATAAACCAATTCATATGCTTAAACATGAAGAACTAATTTTGAGAGTGCTTTTCAGTTCCAGTTTCTTCCATAGTTGTGTGTACATTTTAATAGAATGTAAAAAAAAAATGATGGCAGGTGTTTCCCTGTTGAATTCAGTTGTGATATAATGCCCAATGTCAGCAGCACAGATGAGATGTGTGTTAGTAGGGAGATGTACTCTCAGTGAAAACAGGGATTGTCTAGAGGTCTTGTGTGTTCAGAAGCTGCAGTCCCTTCACTGTCAGGGAGATGACACCTGTACAGGACTATGTAAAGTAGCAAAATAACAGACCAGCCTGCCCTAAAGGCAATCTACTGAGACAGCTTCTCACTCGGGCCTGTGAAAAAGGCTCCACAGGCCAGTGAATCCTTTTGTTTCACATGCAACCAAGGAAACAGCTCAAGGCAAAACCTCAAGATGCTTGGGAGATTTAGACAGTAAAAAGCACAGGCAAAATAATAATAATAATAATAGATTTTATTACATGTGATCTTTATTAATTAGGTTGCCTTTTCCCCGCTGGGGATTGAACACAGGACTTCACACAGGCTAGGCACTACCGCGGAGGCCCCTCCCTAGCCTTTAGTTGTCTACTTTTGGAAGATAGTTTCACTCACAGGTTATTAATATGGTTCTCAGGGGATTCAAATATGTAGACCTTTGGTTTCTTAAAATAGCTTTAAAATACTTGGATCAGCAGAATATTTCTTGAACTAATCATTCCGTTAATACTAAGTTAATGATAATCTTACTACCCTATATGAAAAAAAAAGTTGTAGAAAACCAGGGACGTCATACAGTTTACTACTAGACCACCAAGGAGATATAAATGCCTTTGCTCCAGCTGTGTAAGAGTGAAAACGATGCTTTGTTTGCTCAGCCAATCCCGAGAGACTTACAAAGGGTACTTCCCCATTTATCTTTAACACCGGTAAATCTATATTGAGTAATGTCTACCAGAATACACACTAACAGTGAGGGAGGAAAGGACAGAGGACATTTAACAATGAGGATGAGGATGAGGATGAGGTGTGGAAACAGTGATAACCCTAAGGGCAGAGGAGAGCAGCAGTGGAAGAGAAGGGAAACGTGCATCCCAGGAAGACTGCACCTCAGTTGGGAAACACTGCCACAAACACTCCTGGGTCCTTGCTGAGTTTTAGGATGCATTTTGTGTGGCTTAAGAACAGAAGTGAAGGTTGGTAAACTTGGATATTGAGTCACCTGGTGTATAGATCTTAGCAGGTAAGAATGGTGCACTGAACTGGAGGTGCCCATCAAAGAACGTGGCATCCTGTACAGGAACCTCGTGCGAGGGTAGGTAGAGAATCTGCCTGTATCAGTGGCACATCTTTTGACTGTTTGGTGAAAATTCACAGCAGTGTCTTCTTATCCCAGTACTGACCTATGTATGAGGTATCTTGGATTCTTCGAAGTTTTCCAGGAGACAATTAGGAAAAATTAATGCACATTGAAAATAGCATAATGTTTAATCTTAATTTCTGTCAATATAGAAACTCAACTTCAAACTGCAAACAGGCCTATTAAGTGACCACTTTTCGTTTTACTTCTGGAAATCTGTCTGTTTGTAATTGTTAATTTTTCTTCATGAAAAGTGTGTATCTAATACTTTCCTAAAATACTGATGTACCGGAAACTCAAATAAATGTCTTACATGTAGAACATCCATGTGTGCTGTGTACTTTTAATTCAGGGTGTGAAATGTCACACTATTGATAAATCTTGGGCGTGGTGTGTTGTGGATAGAGCCCTTGCTAGGTGGCTACATGGTGAGGCAGGCACTCCAGGAGACAGCCAGGGCTGTGCGTGAGCTACTAAACCCGTTTGAGACTGGAGGAAAACCATTCTTACATGTCTCACTCCAGACTCTGACAAATGTGAGAAGAGAAAATCTGTAAAACCTGGTGAGCCAGAGAAGAATCCCCCCGAAGGTTCTGATCACAGGTCTGTGTAGCTCTACAAGCGGTATGGAGTCTGCCATGCTCTCAGTGGGTCCTGGTCTGTATAGTTCTATGAGGAGTGTGGGATCATTCATGCTCCCAATGGGTCTCTGGAAAGGAAGGAGACCAATGTCTTTCCTCACTGCTTTTTTCTAGGTGCCAGATGATGGATGATCCAGAGTAGAAAGCATTTAGCTTCCTTATATTGTATAGAATGTTTTACCACCTTACTTTCTCAATAAATACCTGTCCTGCACTGCTTAGCATAGGACAGAAATGTGGATGAGTGGGCAGGGATCGGAAGGGGTAGATAATTCTCTCTCCTAACGTATTTCTCTTACTTGTGGTTGGCCTCATGCTTTTACAGTTCTGTTTGCATTTGGGGTGTTCCAGGGCTATGAGTTTGGGTTAGTCTGTCCTTGCCATTGTTCTTCACTCTGTGAACTTGTCACCATCTACCAATTTGACATCCTTATCCAGGATGTCATTTGTGGGAAGACTAGAGTAGGAATGAGATGACAACTCCTAATTTGTGAGACCACAGGAATTCAAAAGTCCTGTATCCCTTCTCCATGGGAGAATACCACTTTCCAAATACTGTCTTCATTATGAGGAAATATTTTGATTTTGGTTTGGTAGTTTGTTAAATATTGTTATCAGTGTCTACTATTTTGTTGTCTTAGCAGTATTAAAATAACCCATTTAAATCACTTATCAACTCCATGGAATGACTGAGTAACATATGGATTCATTTTACTTTAAATCTATGAATATAATACTGAACACTGATTAAACTTAAGATTTTGCCCCAAATATATTTGACAATTGGACACTTGAAGAGATGTGGAGATATGAATCTTTCATCAGGTAGCACATTAAATGCTGAACTGTATTTCATTGGTGCCAATATAGACACACACAGTTTAAGACATCGATCATCTGGTGGGAAATGGGCACATTATGTCATATTTTACATCCTCACCCCCTCAGCTTTTCACTAATGTGCTGTCTTCCTTTGGGTGGCAACAGGAAGAGTAAGATTTTTCCCATGATGTGTGAATCTCAGCCTCAGGTTGTCTTTCTTTTGAAGAGCAACTCAGAAATCACTGGCAACAAGATAATCTACTATGTCAGCAAGAACTGCTTATTCAAAATTAGAATGCCTAAAAGCTGGAGAGAGCTGGGGCGAGGGAGAAGGAGAGAGGGGCATGCGCGCGCGCGCGCGCGCGCACACACACACACACACACACACACACACACACACACACACCCTCGGGGGGAGAGAGGGAGGAACAGAGGAGGGAGGGGGAGGGAGGAGGGAGGGGATGATTACAGTGTAGATCATACTCGACCGTGCTTGTTGCTACATTCAAACGTGAGAAACATGACCCTCACACAAGTGGTCATCCTTAAAGTTAAAATATTTTTAAAATTTAGATTTTAAATTTTATATGTATGAGTGTTCTGCCTGTCTTAATATATGCAGACCATATGCCTGCCTGGTGCCTGCAACAATCAATTGGAAGAGGATGTTAGATCCCCTGGAACTGGAATAGTTCTGAACTACCTTGTTGGTGCTGAGAACTGAACCTGAGCTCTCTGGAAGAGCAATATGTGTTCTTCACCATTGAGTCCTCTCTCCAGCCTGCCTCCCCACCCCTCAGTTAAAATAATTAATTAAAAATGGTGTGGGTGTATCTGCTTGTGGTTATGTGCACATAAGTACAATGGCCAGAGGAGAGTGTTTGGGTTCTTTGGAGCTGGGGTTGCAGGTGTGTGAGAGCCACTCAGTGTGGGTGTTGGGAGCTAAACTCAGGTCCTCTGATAGGGCAATATATGTTTTTCACCATGTAGCTATCTGTAGTCCAAATGACAATCTTTTAAATGTATATTCTACTATGTAAAAGAGCCTGATCCCTGGCACTGTACAACCCACAAAACAAGTTGCACTATGTTGGAAATAAGGTTTAAGTAATAAAGACAGAAAGAAGCCAATCAGGTTTTTGTTTTGTTTTCAACTTGACTACCTCAAGCGGTTCCCACTACCATCCAAAAGTAGTCAAACTGTCTTCCACTGATTGCTTTGAGTTTTGGCTGAAAAATTGTCTCCCCCAAAACCCAGGTTTAACCAGTCATAAAATATAGTTGAAACATGTTGGTTCTCAGTGTTAACTACATGCCTAGATTCCAATGACCACTGAATATATTTGCCTCCATTTTTTAGAAGTTAACAGAATGGATGTACTTTTCTTTAAGAAAAAATGTACCTTTCAACATACTTTAAAATATAATGTGTATATTTTCAGTTTTTAATTTCTGTTCCAATCCTGATGGTCAAATTCTTCAAGCCCTATGGCAGATAGTTCAGAATTTCTTTTCTTGGCTACCTGGAAGACAAAGAGTTTTATTTTAAGAGCCATGCAAGGTCAAGTCAACAGTTCATTTTGGTCCAGCTTCCGTTGGTGGGTGAGAGGGTGGGCTTACTACTTAGGAAATCTTTGAGGGGGCCAGAATGGCTTCCATTTATTATTAACTTTGTAACCCACAAGGATCACAATCCTTCCTTTCCTAAGCCTAAATACATTTCCAGGATGATCCTCTTTTTGAGCAGAGATGAGAAGCATGAATTTCACCATGTTTCTTCCCATTTACAGAAGACACCACTAATCTATTATAGTATTCTTCCTTAAGGAACACACATGTCCTTCAGCTACCACAATGCCTGTAACCTTGGAGAATCATCACTGATGCTTTGTGTTTGTTGTTACTGTCCCACCCCCTTCCTTTTTAACTGTGAAAAGTTACTTTCTTTTATTCACTGGGAACCTCATTTGACACATGGCCCTTAACTCTCTTTTTCAAGATTTAATTGGTGTTTGCTTCATCCTGGATGAAACATGTTGTCTCTTGGTGTTAGCTCTATGTTCAGGAGGTTGACAGTTGCGGACAGTTTTCCCTCGGAAAGCAAATCACCTTTCAAAATAGCATCAAATTTTATCAATATCAGATCTTATATCCTGTCATCACTTCATGGCCCTTATCTAAACTTGTTCTGTTTCTTTAATTTTCCTGGTTTCAAAAATTCAGATGGCACACCTCGTTGCCAGTGTGCAACAGAATAAAAATTATTACTCCTTCCAGCCTTATTGTGACAGTGTCCTTGATTGCATGTCAGTTGGAAGTCACCTCAGGTGCAGGCCTGAGGAATGTGTGTTATTGATTGTCTCTAGAGTGAACATTAGATGCTTCCACCAATTGTTAATATCCATATAATTTTTAAAAATAGGTAATTTGGGAATGAAAATGTCCAATATCTTTCCCCTCAAAGTTCTTTCACAAAATGAAAGCTCTGTAGATCGGATATAACCAGACTAGACCACTTTTTTTTTTTTTAAATAAAATAATCTCGGTAAAATAACTTAAATGTTTTATAAGATGACTTATCTTTGAAGACTTTCTGAAGTTGCTCATGTCTCACAAATAATGCTGCTTATTTTTTAAGAAAATAATTCATTTTTATGTTATGGACATTGGTGTTTTGGCTGCATGTGTGTCTGTGTGAGGGTGTTAGGTCTAGAACTGGAGTTACAGACAGTTGTGAGCTACCACGTGGATGTTGAGAATTGAACCATGTCCTCTGGAAGAGCAGTCAGTGCTCTCAACCACAGAGCCATCTCTCTAGTCTCAATAATGCTGCTTCTATGTTTTTTTAAACTTTGGGTGACTATTATTTTAAATAAAAAGAAAATTGGGCCAGCGGTGCCTCCCATCCCAGCACTCCAGAGGCTGAGGCAAGAGGATGTAAAACTCAAGACTGGCCCGTGCTGTATAGCTTATTTCAAAACAGAATAAAAAGGATTGTAAGAATAATTTATATGAAATTACTCAGTGCGACAAATATTATTACTTTGAAATTTTCAATTTTGCAATAACACACTTGACTACCAACACATATTTTTCAAGAAAAGATTGGGAATATTTACTCCTGTGATTTCATTATTTTGTCTATGTATTTCGGTTGATGAGTGTTTTGTCTCTCTCCTTGTACCAGGAAATACCTCCTACCCATATTAAGTTTTGAAAGTTTACCAAATAAAGAATAGGTGCTTCACCTAGCTCCATTAAAACTTAAAAAAAAAAAACAAACCAAAAAACAAACAAAAAAGCCAACAAGCACAGAACTGGTTCTATTTTTGTTTTTCAAAATTCAAACTACTTCAAACCAACTTGTAAAAAACCCAAGTACAATTTTACCTTGTTTTGCTGACGTAACTTTTTAACCCTAAATTGGTGGGCTTCGTTTGTAAAGTGATCTGGTTGCCTGCAAGAAAAAGCAACAGTGTTACCCTCTGCCTCCACATGAAGAGCAGCTACTGTCTCATGCTATTTTGGAATTGAAATTATGACAAATGAAAACAGCTAGCACTACCTTGCAAGTGCAGCCACTGGAGTTTTGCCTTTCAGATGGCCTATTGGGGTGGGGGCGTTGGTCTCAGAAGGGTTGGCAGAAACTTGTGGGAAAGATGGGAGGATAAATTCATCATGAGAGCGGCAGTTATGCTCAAACTAAGCTCTGAACCATGACTGCTCTGAGAACTCTATCAGAGCATTTTGTTACAATGCTATTCAAGAAAGGGTTGATTGTAACTGCACTATGTAATTCTAGACTTCATTATATTACACAAATTCTGTTCATAATATGTATGCTTTCACTTTATGTTTTTTATCATAAAGTGGGGTATAATATCTGGAGGATGTCTTTCTATACAGGTTCCATTACAAGTAGACATTTATTTCTCCTAATCTTTTAAAATATGCATATGCATTGCTTTATTTCTTTAATTTTTTGACAGTTCATAGCTTTGAATAACAGATTTTAGCAAATATCACCCTCTGTTCTCCTGTCCACACCCCACTTTTCTGATGAAACCCCCCATCTCTGAGCATTGGTATAAGCTTCCTCACTCTTAGTAGCTCCTTTTCAGGTGTGTGCCCAGTGTATCTGGGTATGGAAAACAGAGGCTGATCTGGCCTAAACTTGTTTTGGGTGCACATGGGTAACTCAAAGTTGTGTCCTCTGGTACATCTTTAGAGACAATCCCCTCCTTACCATCTTATGCCTATGCATAATTAGGCCTGTGTATGATTAAATTCAGATGCATTATGAAATGGGACATGCATGGTAAGAACAGTAAATTAATAACCCATCTATCAATCATATAGAGAGCTGCCCAATTTATGTCACTTAGTAGCTGGCTCTTCCTTCTCTTAGACCCGATAAAAAGAGGCTCCAGGCTACAGCCAGTGAGCCTTGGGTACACTCATTCATGCAACCCACTGTCCATCTTAATAGTGTATCCCTCTGTAATCCACATGGTTGCATTACCTTCTCTAAGTCCATGTGAGCCCTTATTCTCAACCATTTTGGTAAAAGCCCAAGAACCTAGAAGGTCTTGACCCAGACCATAAACACCAATAATGAATACAATGATGTAAAAATTTGTGTGCACAATTCTTAGGGAATAAGTGCAACTTTAAAAATTGTTTAAAAGTAGAGTATCTGAGTCACATTACAAACTTTAGAGATGCTGACAAGTTCTTGAAAAGGGACATGTCTGAAGTGCAGGACCACCAGCAGTGATGGCCTCTACTCCACATTATCTGTACTGGATATCATCTACCTTCTTGCCAAACTCAGGAGCAACACACAGGAGATTGGACAGCCCTGCCCACAGTGAGACCAGACATCCTCGGTACTCAGTGGTCTTTGGATTTCTTATGTGATCAGCACCTCTGTATCCATTGCTCATTTTGTCATTAGAATGCTTGTCTTTTATTGACACTCTGAGTCTCATTACTGTAGGCAGTAGCTTGTGTATAGGTTAGGCTACATTTTTCTTGAATCTTATGTAGCTATTAGTTTCATTTTTGACCACCCTCCTTGCCTGTCTGCCAGGGAAATATTAATGTCTCCTGGAGTTGGTATCTAGCTAGGGTGGCCTTTTTAGATTTATGGAAGTTTGTTTTATGTTATGGAGAAGGAGTCTGGAAACTGGAATCAGCTAGTCTTGAACATGCAGTGGTCCTCTGAGGTGCTGGGCCACCATAACCTGGCTCAAAAGTCATTAATAACGTATTTTCTTCATGCTTGGGTAGCTCTGCTTTTGTAAATGGAAAACAGCTGTACTCGAGCCCTGAGTGGCTAGTTAATTCCTCCCTTGTTGATCTGCACTGCTTACTAGTAGAAATTACCTGGTGTGGAAGGATCTTTTTGGAAGTTGCCTTTTCTCTGCTTATCACCTATGGTAGTGTTGCAAATATTATTTTGTGTCAGTTTGCTATCCTACAGAGAACCCACACATCACTGTACTTGATCCTCTTTCTTCTCTTACACTTTTGCATTTCCAAAGGAACTTTAGAAACAGAATGTCAAGCCTGTATGAAACCGTGTTAGTGCCTCTACTGTCATGAACATAGAGACAGCAATGGAGTATCATCAACGTCACCTCCATGGGTGGATACCCTGAGCTGCATGTTCTTGGGGAAAAAACTTTAGGATGCCACCTCATGGTCTTAGTAACCTCATGGGTGGGCTCTTTCAGTCTTTCATCCAATAAGGAAACTACATTTAGAGAAGGAATGCATGCATGATGAGTCGACCATTTCTAACTCAGGTTACTAAATTGCACTTTTAACCATAATCTGACCCCAGATCATTGCTTCCTAGTCAGGGGGTTGTTTTAAAAGTGTTGATGCCTGCTCTCGCCAGGCATCCTCATTAGAGTGACATCGTCTTTGAACCCTGTGTGGCAATCCTTGACACCCACCCGTGATGCCTAGGGAAGACAGGGTGACCTGGAAGTCCAACTACTTCCTTAAGATCATCCAACTTTTGGATGATTACCCAAAATGCTTCATTGTGGGAGCAGACAATGTGGGCTCGAAGCAGATGCTTCGAGATCCGCATGTCCTTGCGAAGGAAGGCTGTGGTGCTGATGGGCAAGAACACCATGATGCACAAAGGCCACCCGAGGGCACCTGGAGAACAACCCAGCTCTGGAGAAGCTGCTGCCCCGCATCCGGGGCAATGTGGGCTTTGTGTTCACCAAGGAGGACCTCACTGAGATTAGGGACATCCTTCTGGCCAATAAGATGCCGGCTGCTGCCCGTGCTGGTGCCATCGCCCCATGTGAGGTCACTGTGCCTGCAGAAGACCTCTTTCTTCCAGGCTTTGGGCATCACCACTAAAATCTCCAGGGGCACCATTGAAATTCTAAGCAATGTGCAGCTGGAGACAAAACTGGAGACAAAGACGGAGCCAGTGAAGCCACACTGCTGAACACGCTCAACATCTATCTCCCCCTTCTCCTTTGGGCTGATCATCCAGCAGGTGTTTGACAATGGCAGCATTTATAACCCGGAAGTGCTTGACATCACAGAGCAGACTCTGCGCTCTCGCTTCCTACAGAGTGTCCGAAATGTTGCCAGTGTTTGTCTGCAGATTGGTTACCCTACTTTGCCTCAGTGCCACACTCTATCATCAGTGGGTACAAGCGGGTCCTGGCTTTGTCTGTGGAGACTGAGTACACCTTCCCACTTGCTGAAAAGGTCAAGGCCAAATCCATCTGCATTTGAGGCTGCTGCCCCTGTGGCTGCTGCCACTACTGTTGTTCCTGCTGCCACTACAGCCCCAGCCAAGGCTGAAGCGAAGGAAGAGTTGGAGCAATCAGACGAGGATAAGGGATTTGGTCTGTTTGACTCAGAGCAACCAACTCAGCCTGTTTAATTTGAGAAACATGGAAATAAGAGCTTATTTCTATTTTAAAAAATGTGTTGATGTCTTAATGGAAGAGGTTGAGTATTGCTAAAGAAGAGAAGAAATCTCTCTAGTTTTTTTTGCAGATGGAGTTCTTGGCGTTAGATGGCCATGTGTTCTGGTGTGACATTTGGGAGTATGACATTTGTGGCCACTGGAGTGAGCAAGAGGGGAGTGAGGAAACCAGAACCACCTGCCAGCCATCTCACACACTGATAGCAAGTGTTTAGTTGTGTGCCTGGAGGCTGTGGTTGAGAAACGCTGGCCATGTTCTTGAACCGGCCCATGCAGAAGGCCTTGAGAACAGAGGTTGCTTTGCAGACCTTTTCTGGGTATCACTAGACACCCTTGTGTTTTTGCTGCTCTCTCTTAAACACGCATTGATATCCGATCACATCTCAGTTCCTTCCCATACCCACTGAAGAGCTTCTCTGATGCATTCTGATTCTGGTAGAAATCGAATTATAAAACTTAAAAAGAATGGACTACTGTAATCATTAAAAATGATACTATAGAAAAAAACTTCATGACAGAAGGAAATATGCAGGTTAAGAAACCAAGCTGACAGGCTGCAGAGATGGTTCACTGGATAAAGTTCTTATCATGCAAGCATGGGGACTGGAGTTCAGATCCCCAGCACCCTTGTAAAGCCTGACAGACAGTGAGTATCTCTAATCCCAGTGATTCTCCGGTGAGATGGAAAGTAATATGGAACCAATGGAAGCTTAGGTCAAGTTAGCCTGGCATATGAAACAGTTAAAAAAAAAAGACCCTGTCTCAAGCAAGGAATGAAACCCAAGGTTAACCTCTAACTTACATATTTGGTAGCGTGCGCGCGCGCATATGTGTGTGTGTGTGTGTGTGTGTGTGTGTGTGTGTGTGTTGGGGGCAGGTGAAGGGACAGGGGGAGGGAGATGGAGGGAGCTGGGGGGGCACAAGAGTGAGATGGACTGTAAAACAAGTCAGTCTTGTTCCTTGTTTTGTTAAAAAAATTCTTAAACTAATTCAACATCAATGTGGATACCAAGAGAGAACAGTATTGTGATGAATTGGACAGCATACTGACTTCTAACTTTCTATATTGTTTAGTTTTCTAATGATGAGTGGTGGTGTTGTACTTGTGAACAGGATAGAATACCCCACATTTCATGCACTCACGCACGCACGTGCGCACGCACACATGTGTGTTGAAGGCAGTAAGACAGCTCATGTCTTTCCTGCTTCCTCGATGGAACCGGTGCAAATACTAACAGCAGCTCTGTACAGGGCTTCAAAGTCTGACCCTTGAATCACAGCCATAGCTGTGCTTGAGTCAGAAGCAGGGTAGAGAAAGGTGAGAGTAGTAGTTTTCACCTTCACCTACAAAAAAGACTTTTTTTGTCACTAACAACAAGCACAAGGCTGCAGTAGTATCATTTTGCCTTCTTAAATATCACTTAAATGCATTACAATGTATTAACATTTAAGAGTGAGGCCACATGAAAGAAGCTCTTGGCAAGAAGGGTCCTCTGCTTTGTTTTATACATAAAATAATTTACCTTAAAATATCTAAAATAACACTTCTGACTGGTGGTCTAGAGGAGCACATGGATTTATCCACACGGTAGCTTTCTCAGAGTATGAGCAATGGATTTTTGGGCCTGCAATCTACATGCTTGACTTACCTGCATGGAGCTGCCTGTCCTTGGTGGACCTCACATGTCTTTCCAGGGGGACAGAGATTCTGGTCCTGGAAGTCCAGGGTCCCATGGCTCTCATGCCCCTGTCTGCAGCGACACTCTGCTTCCTGTGTCCACTCATTCTTTACACACTGGGCAAATTTGCCACAGTCCAGGAATTTGCAGGGATCCGCCTGATCAGCTGCCAGAGATAGGGCAGATTTTGATGAATGCATAGATATTTAAACAGTGTGACTAGCAGCAGTTAAAGGTGACAGACCAAATGTGTTTACCATTGCTCCATTTTGGTGTGTAGTGGTACTTAGGCTGGAGGAAAATGAGAAATACACTTTGTATCTTTGATAAATGAATCTAGACCAGGAAGATAATATATTTATCTCCAACTCTAATTATGTGCAAACTCTGAGCACAGCAAAGTCATCTGGAGGCCACATTCAGACAGATTCCTTCTGGGGGAGGGGGGTGTTATAAATTGAGAACATCTCAGGATGCTTTGTTCTGGGACCACACTGGCCCTGTTAGCCCTCCCTTGCTCCTATAGAACTGACACTGAGCCCACACCAAAGCAACAAATTGCCAGAGTCCCCAAGTACTGGTGGCGGAACTGCAGGCAGTCATCAGATTGCTGTTTTTTCTGCATTGAATTGGTTTTCTTTTTAATCCTATTACTGTGTCCATTATGTACATGGGCCCAGGGCAGGCGGCCATGTGTAAAACCACTCTTTCATGAAGTCCTAGAAAGTAATTTACACAGTTAATTCCATGTAAGAAATCCAATTTGTAGTCCACTATGAGTTTGAGTATGAAGATGAATTTGGAGCCAGTCAATCCCTCAGGAGTTGTTTGACCTGAGGCTTTAAAATGAGGGCCCATGAGATGACTCAGTGAGAAATACAACTTTGAGTTAATTGAGAGCATGGGGGAGGGCAGAGGGAGTTAGGAGACAGAGAAGGGGAGAAGAGGAGGGGAGAGGAGGACAGGAAGGAGCAGGAAGATTGAGTCAGGGGAAGAACAGAAGAGAGCAAGAAAAGAGATACCATAATAGAGGGAGCCATTGTAGGTTTAAAGAGAAATATGACACTAGGGAAATGTCCAGAGATCTACAAGGATGACCCCAACTTGTAGGGAACACAGTAACCATGCCTCCTTGGGGCTGGCTACAGGTGTGGTCAGGGTGGCGTGAGGGAGGTTTAAGAGTGAGGGGGACCCACATGGGAGCCCCCTTCTTCTGCCCTTGCTCCATTGGCTTGTTTCTTTGTTCCCTGCTGGCTGGCTAGGTGCTCTGTAAGTAAAGCATATCCCTAATAAATATACCTTAATATCTCTTCTGGCTCTGTATTGGTATTCACCATATACCAACTAACAATCTAAGCAATAGTGGAGAGGCTACCTTAAATGCCCTTCCCCAATAATGAGATTGATGACTACCTTATATGCCATCATAGAGCCTTCATCCAGTAGCTGATGGAAGCAGAAGTAGACGTCCACAGCTAAGCACTGAACTGAACTCCTGGAATCCAGTTGCAGAGAGGGAGGAGTGATGAGCAAAGGGGTCAAGACCAGGCTGGAGAAACCCACAGAAACATTTGACCTGAGCAAGTGGGAGCTCATTGACCCCAGACTGGTAGCTGAGAAACCAGCATAGGACTGTTTCAGACCCCTTTAATGTGGGTGTCAGTTTGGAGGTCTGGGCAGTCTATGGGGCCTCTGGTAGTGGATCAGTATTTATCCCAAGTATAAGAATGGATTTTGGGATCCCATTCCCCATAGAGGGATACTCTCAGTCTAGACACATGGAGGAGAGAGGAGAGTCTAGGCCCTGATCCAAATGATGTGACAGACTTTGAAGATCCCCCATGGAGGGCCTTACCATCCCTGGGGAGCAGAAAGGGAATGGGATAAGGGGTAGGTAGGGGGCAGAGGAGGAGGGGAAGGAGAGAGAACTGGGATTGACATGTAAAACATGCTTGTTTCTAATTTAAATAAAAAACTAGCTTCTCTTGGATGTTTATGACTGAGACAGGTGTTCCCATCATTGACAGCATCAAGGGGAGAGGCACAGAGGGGAGAAAAGCGAGCAGGAAATTCAGCTAGCCAGGACCAGAGGCTTGTGAATGGAAAGGCTCAGAGATAAGACAGAGGAGGCATGTTATTAAGGTATTTGGACTTTTGAAAACACTACTTCCCCATTGCTACCTCAGTGACCCTAGGCATTGGCATGTTTTAGGTATGCAGGATCCATAGAGGGTTTTTGCCCAAGAGTATGATCAGAAATGTGCTTTAGAATATGCAGAATTAGGAATTTAGTGACTTCAGAAACCCTCTGGTCCAATATTTTCCCAGTGGAAACATTTATGGAACTCTGATTCAGGAGGATTCGACATGCTTTATACTAAAAAGTCATGTTGGTTAAGTAAGTTTTAAAAAGGCTGTGTGACTATTGATGAGAGTGTAAATTTGTGCAGTTATTATGGAAGGCAGAATGTTGGTAGCCCCCAATTAAAAACAGAACCACCAACGATCCAGCAATACCACTCCTGGGTATTGTATATGGTGGTTTGAATTAGAGAGTAGAACTGTTTGAAAGGATTAGATGGATTAGGAGCTGTGGCCTTTTTGGAGTAGGTGTGGCCTTGTTGGAGGAAGTCTGTTACTGGGGATGGGTTTTGAAGTTTCAAAGAAGCCCCTACCAGGTCCAGTGTCTCTCTTTCTGCCTGATGCCTGTGGACCACAATGTGAAGCTGTCAGCACTAGCACTATGCTTGTCTGCATGCTGCCATATTCCCTGCCATGATGAGAGTGGACTAAACCTCTGAAACTGTAAGCAAAACCTCAGTTAAGTGCTTTCTTTTATAAGATTTGCGTTGGTCATGGTGTCTCTTCACTACAAAGACAGTACTTAAAGAAGATGAAATCAGTACACTGAAAAGACATTTGCAACCCCACATTTACTGTAGCACTATTCACAGTGGGAACAACCGTGCGTGCGCGCGCGCGCGCGCGCGCGCACACACACACACACACACACACACACACACACACGCACACACACGGAATACTATTCAGATGTAAAAACAAGAAGTTTGTGTGGAGAGAAGGTTCCACGACTAAGAGCAAATACTACTTTTGCAGAGGGCCTGAGCCACTCTAGGTGGCTCATAACCACCTGTAACCATCGCTCCAACAGATCTGATGCCCTCTTGTGGCCTCTGTGGGCACCTGCTCTCTGCTGTGATTTATAGTCTCTTTCTCAGATAAAAGTCAAAATCTAAAAAACCACACAAGATTCAAGAGATCCTTTTATGTCTTTCATTTGTAACACATGACTGAATCTGGAGGACATTATGGTAAGAAAAATAACCAGGCACAGAAAGACAAATACTGCATAATTCCATTTGCACATGGGATTTAAAAACATTGATCTTGAGAGTAATGATTGCCAGATTCTGGGAGTAATAGGTAGGAGGGAGGTGTGGGGAGAGATTGGTTCATAGGTGCTAAGTTACAATCAGACGAGAGGAGAAGATTCTAAATGTCCTATGACACAGTCCTGTGACTATGACTAATAACAATTCATTTTGTCTCTCCAAATAGCTAAAAGAGAGTATTTCAAAAATTCTCATCATGAATAAACAGCAAATGTTTAAGATAATGGATATATTAATTGTCTTGATGAGAACAAAATATATACATATGCTGAAACACTACATTGTACCCAATAAATTTATATACTTATTATATGTCAACCAAAAATAAAATGGGGATACAGTGGCATGCACTTGTACTTCTGGCCATTTGTGAGGTCTGCTTAAACTCCCGATTTTGAGACCAGCCTGGACAACACAGTGAGACACCCCCATCTTAAAACAAAGCAATAAAATACAAGTTAGAACAAATATATTCTACAAAATAAATATAACAGGTGGCCCCTTCCTTCTCTTTTCCATTTCAATATCACCCCTTTATATTTTCACTTCTAAATCTTGTGGGGTCATTAATAGGCTGTGTGTCTATTGTACTCTTCTGTAGCCAGCTGCCTTACCAATTAGCAGAGCAAGAAGCTGTGCAGGTAGGGGGGTTGAGAATTGGGATGCTATATTCTCCCCGGTCCTGCCAGGCATCCTCTTGAGATGGGATGCTCCGAGAGAGGGAGATGAAAGTGACCAATCCAGGTGTTTGGATAAGAGAATGTCCTTAAACAAAAACAAAACAAAACATGATTTTGGCTTCCTGGCAAGGCAGACTGCTAAAGTCTTTGTGTGGGGTTGTATTTCTCTGTAGCTTTCAGGTCCCACATGTGAACTAGCTTTGCCATCTCATGGTTCTCAAGGCAAGCATGTTAAGGAATTGTGTCATTTTTGAGGCAATAAGTCCATTCCCACTGACAACCCAGGTGATTATATACCCAGGAACTGCTTTGATAAGTCACAAATGCCAGCAACTTTCCATGCACTGGGTGCTTGGAAACAGAAGCCAGTGTAGAGGGAGTGGGGGTGGGGGTCAGAGGCTCTTGGAGGCTCCACTTCTTTCTCGGGGATACATATTTAACTTGGAAAGCTGACCAAAAAAAAAAAAAAAAAAAAAAAAAAAAAAAAGCACAGGTGCTTCCCCTCTGAGTCCAATAACAAAGGTGTGCTAACTGAAGAGTATGCCTATAAAAGAAGTGTTTCTATTTTTACCGTAATTTCCTTTTGTCCTGCCAGGCATAGCCTGTGTATCATTAAAGTTGCACAATGCACAGACCACATTGGGGCAATGACTTTGCCAAATATGGGGTTCCTGAATCAGATGTGAAGAATGGATGAAACCATTTTATCAATAGTTACCCTCATGTTATTTAATCAAGACAAGTCAACAGAGAGGAAGGAGACTTTAAATCGCCAAGCTTAGGTTTTGTTTGCAGTATATACCTTCCTAGATACTAAAATAACATCCATTTAGTCGACAAATATCAATATGGCCTTTCCAAACTTTCATCATGAAGAATCAGAATGGATGGTTTTATGTCAACTTGACACAAGCTAAAGCCATCCGAGAGGGGAACTTCAAATAAGAAAATGCCTCCACAAGATTGGGCTGTAGGCAAGCCTGTGGGGAATTTTCTTAATTAGTGATTGATGGGGGAGGGTCAGACCAGCCCATTGTGTATGGGGCCACACCTGGGCTGATGGTCCTGGGGTC